AAGTGTTCTAGCAAATATTAAAGGTTTTAGGGTAGAGCTGGCTTACTGCTGTATACTTTCCTTCATTGTTGAGAGGTACTTGCACCCTTCCTAGGGAGTATGAGCATGCTTGTCTCTCCCCAGGCACAGATATGCTTTACCTATCTTGGATGCCTTGCCAAAAATAGTATTTCTGATTTTCTTTAGATTCTAGGTCAGCCTGGGGAAAAGGGGTCAGAGCAGAACCTAAATCTGAGGCATTCTCAACTTACCACTCTCTAGCATCTCATCTCAGGCCAGGAAACGCAGCGTCATTCAGCTGAGAGATGCTCTTGAGCAGCACCAGGAGTCCTGTCAATACTCCTGTTGCCAAAGCAACTTCCTGCCAAGGTACCATCAAATCACAGAAATAAACTTGTGGTCCTCAAGAAGGCTGGTCAGAGGTTTTGAGTACTCTTGTCATGAGTGTAAAGCAGAAAAGGACAAGGGCTGGGAATGGGAACAGAGGCACAACACCAATCCAGCTGCATTCCCAAGTGAGACATGAAGGCAACACACCCCCAAAGTCTGATATGAGGAACTTCCCATGATTAAATCAACTCTGTGCCACAGCTTGCAGAGGATGCAACAAAGATTTCTGGGAGAAGCTGAGGAAGACATTCCCTGACCTTGCTGGTCTAGAGGTGATGGCACTTCTCAAGACAAAGTCCTTTTGCATGTCCCAGGGGGATGTGGCCCATTGCCTGTGGTCTAAGTCAGAACAATAAATGGCAGGTCCATCAAATCAATACCAGACTTATCCTCACCACACAGCAGCTCAGGTTAATAAAACCACAGTGTCCTGAAGAGTGATGATAACTCATTTACTCACTCTGCTGCTCAAGCAAGTTCACTTGGGCAGCAACTCACATTTCGGTAAGGCTCTGACCCAGCATCACCCCTGTGATGGGTTTGCTGGGGTTTGCACCACACCCACAGTGCAGAGGATGCTTAGAGATGGAGGCAAAGGACAGGCAGCAATCCCTCCCCAGGACACTGCACCAGTTTCCCCCAGGCTGCTGTGACAGATGCAGAGGCAAGGCTTGGCTTCCTGCTGTTTTCCAGCACTCCAGTCTCTTCCCCAGAGCTATGTCAGTGCAGGGATGACCAGGAAGCCACGGCTCCTTCGTTACGTACACAAACATGGCCACGGGCAGGTTGACCAGGAGGATGTTGGTGGAGAGCATGTAAATGCACACAAGGGGAATGGTGATCCACTCCGGGAAGCGGGGCTGGTTGTTGGCATCCAGCTCCACGCACAAGGGCTTGGACTCGTTCCCAGAAAAAGTGCAGTGGTCGAAGTTGTAGGTGGTACCTCAGAGAGGGGAGAGCAAACAGTGAGCTCCTCGTTCTGCTGGTCCTGCCCTCATCCCTCCATTCCTGCTCCCCGTTAGACTTGGAGGCAGGGGGCNATTCCTGCTCCCCATTAGACTTGGAGGCAGGGGGCCAGCACAGGGCTGGCCAACCTTTAGAAGGACAGAACCTTTGACCCACCGAGGAGGGACCCCCCAGAAGATAAATACCATCAATATCATCAGGGTAATGGCCAAACATGGCTAGGTAGGGCTCGTAAATGACCGAGCGGAAGATCCACTCCCAGCGGTGCTCGTTCTTCCTCAGGATGCCTTGCCTAGCTACACCAAAGGCCACCATCCACACAGCAAAGAGGAAGAGGAAGAAGAAGACATCTATCATCTGAAAAGGGACAACAGGCATCAATCAGTGCACCCCTGCAGGTCTGTTGCAAGCCACACAGGTATGGCTCCTAATTTCACAACACACATGGTAATAACTGACCACTCCCATTCAGAGAACTTCAAAAATATTTATGCAACCACAAAAGCAAAGCATGTTTTGGAATACAGGATATCCCCCTGGCATCGGACAGGCTCCACAAAAGCCAGAACCAGGTAAAAAGGACTGTGGCTCACCTTACCCCTGTGAGATGAAAGCTTCTGAAAATGCCACTCTGGATGGCTTCCAACCAGCATTTACAGCCCAGACACTCTGGCCAATGATTGCATGAATTTCTAGCACTGTATGAGAGGATCCTCACCACTCTCTTCCTCAGGTACTTGTGTGATGGATGCAGTGGAGGACCAAAGTCCTCCTCCTGTACCCTCTACCATCACTCTCTTGTTTGGGGAATACGATGGGAGCAACAGAAATACCACTGGAATGTTTGAGGTATGGAAAACAAAAGCTACCAGGAAGCAAGTCTCCTCTTCTCGTCTTCAATCTAATCCTTACTCTTTCTCTTGACAGAGAAAAATGCCCTACTCTTAATTAGGTCCCACTTAAATCTTAATTCATCCTGTTTAGCTGATTTAACTTGCTGCCATTATCAGAACATGGCGATTTCACTCTTAAGAGGGAAGGGGGAAAAAAAAATTGTCACATCATGTATTTAGACTTTTGAATAGCTGCCAGAATCTTATCATCCTCTGCAGCATAATAATTTTGGGTCCTAGATTCCTGCTAACTGTGGAAATATGGATGAGCCTCAGGGTAAAAACTATGTAGTCCAAACAGAAAATTACTCTCCCGGAATACCAAGAGCTTTCATCAGAGTGAAGCCTGATGGAGACAGCAGAAGAAAACAAAGAGAAGCCTTGGTTGAATCATGCAGAAATCAGGTAAAAACACACTGAAACATTGAAATGGAGAGTGGTAGGTGAGAAATTAGAAAGCAGAGCACAGCTATCCAGGACCCCATCTAATGACAGGTGACAGAGATGGTTAATGCACACTCGGTTTATACCCTTTCTTCCTGACATGCATCATCATCCTGCTCACTTTTTCTCTTACCCTTAAAGCTATTAACAGCAAGGAAATTTGTACCTGGAGCTACTCCCACAGCCCTCTGAAACCACCACAGTGCAACATCTGCTGCACTGCCCTGAGGCAACAAGTACTAAGTTACAGCTGACTGCACAATTACTTTGGAAAATGTGTTTCCATCATTTCTTTGCCATGGTTTTTAACTCACCCCATTGTGTAAAACAGCTTCTAGGAGATAATGACATTGTTAGGCTGCTGCACAGTCCTCTTAAATATAATGCAAGGCCCAGGTGGTCATATTAAACAGCCAGTAACAGAAGCCACAAAAAATTCTAAAGATCCCCTGTCTTTTTTTTTTAAGTCAACACTTGTCAGTATTTGGGACCTTCACAATGCGAATTCCATGAACACATTGCTCCCCAAAATTTAATTACAGGTTGTAGGCAAAACCCACCAAGGAAGGGAAGCAAAGCTGTAACGTGGACAAGAGAAGGCACTACTACTCACCTGAACACAATTCCTGCTATGAAATAGAAGATTGCAAGGGTATCCATAACATTCCACAGGTCTGAGAAATACTTGCTGCCATTCATGTACCACTGGGAAGGAAAAAGAACAGAAAATAACTCCCACACAGTATAGTTTCTTTGTCCAATTAACATTTTGTCACACAGTAAATAACATCAGAGTTCAGATGGCTTTCAGTTTTCCCAGAAAGAGGGGTTTCATGTATCCAGCAATGCCACAAGTTACTGGCAACCTGTTTTTTTGGGTCTTGGTGTGACCCAGGAAGCACTGCAGGGGGGAAGGGGGTAACAGTTTAAGGGTAGCTGATGCATCCTGGCTTCTCTCCCTTCACAGAGCTCATTCACTAATCTGCCCCCAGCTATATACACATGCTTTGGATGCAAGACCCAGATTTAATTTTTTTTTTTAATTACATAGCTCTCTATTTCTGAATTGCAAGTCTAGTGAGAATCCCTGCTCATTCCCAGACTGAGTGGTACAGCAGCCTGGATCCCAAGTCTGTGCAAGAACTAACTTCTGGAATCAATTCAGAGGTGACTCATAAGGACAAGAAGCTTCATCAGGACAAACCTCTGCCAGGTCTGGAGAAATAAACTGCATCCCAAATCGTAAGTCTTTTCAATTTCAATTTCCATTGAAATCAAAGTTTTGCAGAGTACTGCTCAATGAATCTCTAACTGACATATCCAAGGAAGGCAATTCTGTCCTTAGTAATTCTATGGGAAACAAACAGAAATCCAAGGGAGTTTTCTCCCAAGTGCTGTCTCTGCCCAGTAGCTCCTTAAATCAAATAAAACATCTGGGACTGAGGTGCAGCTCTCCAAATTCCAAGCAGTTTCTTCTGCTGAGAGGTGAAATGCACAGAGGTTCTGTCCAGATTCCTTCTCCACTGGAGAAAACAGGGCTTTCCTTCACACCCCCCAGTCCACCCACTCACCTGGCTGGAGGCTACCTCCATGTGGCTAAGGAAACAGCAGGGAAAAGGCCTCGCCAATTTCCCCATGGCTCAAAACAGGATTAGGAGCAGCTCCAGCTACTTACAAATCCCTGGGACCACCAGAAGTGAAAGCAGGGCTGAGCCAGTGGCTTACAGGTCAGAGACTGTTCCAGACCAAGGGCTGATTTCTCCCCAGAACTGGTTATCCAACTGCAGCAGCTACAGGGACCCCAGGCAAACTGCTCTTACTTTGTCTGGGATGTGAAAACAAAATCTGAGAGACCCCTCTGTTTTCCTTTAAATATAAAGGACACACACAACTCTGATGCAGAGTTAGACTAATGCACCCATGGTCTATCTCAGGGGAAGCCAGGGAGGAATTTCCCCAAGAAGTTTAGAGGATTGGGACACTGCTCTGCTTTCTGCTCCATTTCTCCTCCTCAGGAAAATGGCTTTGCAGCCAGAACACTGGCTGCAGATAACTTTAAGTCTTCAAATCTAGCTGCCTCCACTGCCAAATTGGTACAGTCTGGCTACCAGTTACTAACAGTAATTGCAGCAGTTCTACCTGCTCAGGGTAGTAAGAAAAAGGGACATTGTTAGGAAAATAAGGTTTCTATCCCTAAGGTTTTCCCCAGGACTTTTGCTGGGTACACACAGGATGTGCAAGGACAGGTCCAGAGACACCAGAACCTTAATCAGCAGAAACAAACACTCCATTAGTGTTTTCATGGCAAAAGAGTCTTTTCCCCCATTTTCTTAGCAAGTAAAGTTGCCATAAACAGTGTTCCACCTTGACTATTAAAAAGGGAAAAGACCACAGTAACAGCAGCATCAGAAATGTCATCTGAGCTCAAGTAGAAAACGATATTGCAGGGTGGGATGATCCAGCAGATCACCCACAAACACTCATGACACGACTCAGGCCTTACAGCAGAATCAGAACGCAGCACCAAACCCACACACCCACTGCTTTTTGACTCCCCCAGCATCCTCCCACATCTCCCAGCTCTGACCACAGACTGGCAGAGACCAGCTTGCCCAAAAGCCACCAGATTCCATGTGAAGTGAGAAGATACCAGCTAAGTGGCTGGCTATAAAGGCAGTCCCACATGCTGTTCCCCCATCAGAGCTGGTCCCTGAGTCTACATTGAACCAGCAAAAAGTGTATAGATGATTAAAAGCAAAATAAAAATGCATAAAGGTATGTAGATTACTAGTAACATAAAAAATAAAGGGGATGGAATGTAGAGAAGAGAGGCAGTAATGACTTCATCTAAAGCTTTGCACCAAGACAAATGTGCTAAATCTAGCCATTTACTACCAACTACCTTGGCAAGCCAAGCATTCCTGGGAAATGCCTGCACCAGGCTTATCCTCTTGGTGCACAGACACTGCACTGCAGGGGCACAAGCAGGAATTAAACACCAGAGGAAAAAATCCCTCACTGGGCCCTGAGCTGCCTGAGCAGCTCTGCTAGGAAGTGGCTCTGAGCACCTGCACTGCCTTGGAGGGGGAAAAGCTCAAGGCTGTGGGTCTAACACTAAACTTTCTGGGGTTGCAAGCGCTGCCTACTTGTCTCACTTCATCACAAAGCAGAATGAAGACCAGCACGTAAAGGATGATCTCCAGGGCCGTGGGTTCCTTCTGGAAATCCATAAGCAACACATAGGCGAAGAGCAACAGGAAAGCAATGTAGAAGATGACGTTCCAGGAGAAGACCACAAAGGGGGAAGTGAAGAAAGACACATAATATAAGAAGAGTTTCTTACTCTTCTCCACAGGCTTTTTCCTGAGGAATTAAAAGAGGGAAAAGGTCTCAAAGCATAGCTTTTAATGCCTAGAAACATCTGTGTTCTTAAAAGTGAAAGCGCAAAGGGCGCAAAGTCCAGCTCAGGATGTTACTTCAGAGGTAAAGACATCCTGCAACCCCTGCCTGGAGGCGCTCCAGTAAACTGGTAAATCTTCCAGCTTGGATGGGGCTTGGAGA